AGGAAGGAAGGAAGGAAGGAAGGAAGGAAGGAAGGAAGGAAGGAAGGAAGGAAGGAAGGAAGGAAGGAAGGAAGGAAGGAAGGAAGGAAGGAAGGTTGGTTTAAAATGCCTGTACATGATGCAATCTCTGTGTATCATGATTTTCCTATGTCTTTTCTCATGGGCAGGGGTGCCATAGTGAGATTTTCTTCTGGACACAGTCTAACCATATCACCTGTGGTCTGTTCCAGGTACCGAAATTGTGTTTATACCTACCGAATTCTGCCCGATAAAGAAAATAAGCTAATTGTCCAGGTAAGCCATGTCTGTACTATGTGAAAACGYACTTGAGAACTGCAGGTTTTCAGAGGAATTCTAATACCAATGGAAAAAGGATATAAGGAGTTAAACTAATGCCAGGCCAGCACAGTGCTGGTCTCCTGTCCACTTTTGTGGAGATTTCAGTCTCCAGTCTAGTACATTGCTGTTGCCATTGGCACCACCTTAACACATGTGCTTCCATTCAGTGATGAAGCCATGTTTTATATAATTGAGATATTCAGCACATGGAATAACTTTTCCTTTGAAGCCAACTTCTTACTAGTAAGAATTAAAAGATTATGGGTCTTTTCAATCGAAAATTGCAGCAGTCGCCTGCACCCAGAGAATGCAAATTGAGTTCTGGTGTCCAGATCCAGAAAGTACCAAGATTGAGGGCAGGAGTTTCAGATGTTCTGTTTATTCCTATTTTGCTTTAGAATCCTAAATCAGCCACTTCCTCTTCCTGTGCCACCTCTCAGCTCCTGTTTTTAAAATATAAATCATGAAACTTGGCATAGGGAGGGAGGCGTTGTCTCTTACAGCCCTAAGAAATGGGCATGGGTTTACTGGGCAATGGTGGAGGCTGCAACTGACCCATCCTCTTGGCACAGTCAGTGCCCTATGGTCATTCCCTGCTAAAGGGAAAMACCCAGAGTGGGTCTACAATCATTCCTTCCCATTTCAGATGACAACTAGCTTCCCACACTAGAACGTGGGAAGAAGAACGTAGAAATCAGACTTCTACCAAGTCCATGAGCAGCTTACATGCCTCACAGGCACCATGTTACAAGTGTATTTCCTCCTGTGCTTTGGCATGATCAGTGTTTCTCTGAGATTTGCACTAAGAGGCAGCATATCTGAAATTAGAGTCGTAAGTCAGTGAGMATGGCTGAGTGCTGGAGCTTGTTTTCAGCTGTGGGCTATTGGTARGAATGGTGGATTGTGTGTACTGGGTGCACGCATCTAGCTTGGCTCCCTCAAGACACACTTTTCGGTAACTCAGACTGTTCCCAGGAGCCCCACTCAGACCCAGGTCTATACAGACACAGCTGTATTGTGTATGGTGTCTATACAGACACCAAGGCTAATTCCAGGCTCCTGGCACTGTGCTCCAGAGGCTGTGTGCCAGGGCTAGCCACCCCAGCCCTGTCGGCCTGGACAGCTGGATTCCCCAGAGCCATTGAGATTCCTCTGCCTCACTTGCACTCCAGTTCCTGAGGAGGAACTGGCAGCAGGAGTCTATGTTGGACGTGGTCTGGGTCTGTAGTGTTACTATGGCATGTCACCAGAGTTCATCCCTGTTCCCAGAGCATGGAGTGGTGCTGCACCGGGGAACCTGTGCAGGCTTGGATGGGTGCGAGCCTGAAACCAGCAGGAGCCAATAACCTGCCATTSCCACCTGGCTCCACACACTGTGCTGCAGGCTCTTTGTAGCGACACTCGATGTCCCCTCATCTTCTGAAATATCCCAGCCGTTCTGTGCTAAAGGATGTATTTGTGCTGGTGTGATGCCGTGGTGGCCACAGGAGCCCAGAAGCTGATGTGGTGTTTATCACTGTTGATGATACCCAGAGCAGCTGCAGAGATCGGGGTCTCACTGTGGCAGAGAGCTCTCAGATGAAGCCCCACACACAGGGAGAGTGTTGGGGGACACTTGGGGGACACTTGAGGCCCAGGCAATGGTCACAACTATCTATGTCCCACACAAGCTCTGTGGTAGGTCCCTGGCACTGCTAATGGTGTCCTTACTCTTTGCACTGGCACCAGGATGATGAAGGGAACTTGTGGAACCCTAGACAAATAACTTTGAGGTATGAGTTTGACAATTGCTTTGTCTTTTGGAAAATAAACACAGAAATTATCCTATGCTGGGTTTTCCCTTGTGGGAGAGGAAGGAAGGCAGACCAGACAGATCTGCAAAGGCAGCCACACAGCCCCACACTTTGTCCCTCCACGGCTCGTCTGGGTGCCCTRGGCAAGCCTTGTCCCCTGCTCATCCCTCAGCTGCCCTGCTGGCAGGTCAGGAGAGAAACGTGGGACATGCAGTTGGTCTGCTTCCCGTTCTAGCAGGACACAGATGCCACGAGTGACAGGAGAATTTGAAACCTGAGCAGAGAGCAATGTGTCTGCGTGCAGTGACTCTCCAGAGTGCACTGGGCTACAGGCTGCTCCCAGAACCTGCCAGCGAAGCTCTGTGCGTGAAGTTCTGAGCGTTACAACCCAGGAAGATGCAAGTTGCACTTCCCAGTTTGTACAGGATTTGTGTKTGTGTCTGCTGTGACAAAGGGTCTGTTTTCAAGCACAACTTTTGTCTGCAGATGAGAGCACTGCAGCCATAAGAAATCCATGTTTCTCTCTGCTGTAGCAATGGGCAGCTCTCATGCTGGATCAAGCTTTATGAAGAAGTAATTTGTAAGGTTCTCTTGGGACTCATGTTGGGATTGTGAGGGATTTCTCTTGTTCCTATGTTATGGAATGCAAAGGAACTGTGGTGGAATACCTTTGCAAGGTGGGTTGCCAGGAGCTGGAGGTTGAGTGTCAGGAGCAGGCTATATAGAGTGTGTTGTTAACTCATGTTTTGAAGACAGAACACCTCCTGCTTTGTGCTGCCTTATTCCAGCTCTGTGGGAGAGGCAGGAGAAGGGGACTGGCTTCTTCTGGCAAGTGAAGGATGCAGTGAGAGTTGTAATTGAGGCTCAGAGGAAAAACAGTCCTGTGTTCTTGGCTGCTGTTCTTGGTACCCAGCTGGGCCAGGCTTTTTTTTTTTTTTTTGGTTGCTTGTCTATTGGTTTTTGGATAAAACAAAAACTACTTCATGTGCATTAAAAGATCAGATTTTTTAAAAGATTATTTCTTTGCAAGGATGTAAAAGCTGTTGAATAGGATGGAGACTTGACATTTTTAAAAATCCCATTAAAAAAGCAAAGAGTCTACTAATTCCTATGGAATTAGATCAGGTGTTAAATTAATACAGCAATCAGTAGATATTTCTCATTCTGGGTTTATTAAAATTATATAGAAAAGATTTAATAATCAATTCTGAGATTAGCCTGTATTAGTTACAAATATGAGCCCTGACCATGCAACATGACCTTTTCCTTTACCTGCACAGTGCTTCTTCCTGAAAAAAGCGCTGTCTTCCTGCCCAGATCTGGCTGTGCTGCTGTCTGTCAGGAATTTTTCATGATGACAGCAGATTCAGAAGATGTGTCATATCAGAGCTACATACACAGCCCCTGTGAAATGACAACTCTGCCACTGTGGGGAATTCTTTTCACCTTTAATGTTGCAAGTGGCATCAGTTTTTTGTTAAGTCTTGGAGAGTACATTTCATTTTTCTCTTTTTAATTAGAGCCTGGTCCCACCCTAGTGGAATGATATTTTTTTTTCAGGGTTGAATTTATTGTTCGAGGATGACAGAAAGGGAGGTGCACATTTTTGCATGCAAGGTGCACTGTTGAATTCAAGGTGAAGGAAAAAAAATAGTTGCATATGTCCTTCCAGCATTTTGTGACATGGTTTGAATCCATCTGCCATTTGGATTYTACATCTGCAGCAGCTCTACAGCAGTTAGCATAGTCAGGAATCTCTCTTGCTTGCCATATCTCAAATACATCTGGTGTCCTCCCAAARCATACTGAGCTGTAGAGGTCACTGTCACAGGCTGTTTTCATTACACACAAGTAGAGTTTTTGCCTTTCTTTTCTGATTAATTTTCTCCTTCCATTACTTGAGACTTCAGAATATATGTGAAGWAAGCATGGCTTGGATGAATCAAGCTAGCATCCTGCTGATGAAAACATATTTAAGGAAGGAAGGCAGGGGTAATGAAAACCCCTTGAAACACAGAATCTGTTACTGCAAGTAGAGATCTTCAGGCTGCGAACAATTAGTCATCAAGATATCTCTGCTAGCCTGCAGATTCTCGCTGTAGTAAGAGAGGACAGGAAGAGAGCAAAAAACACAGTTACACAGATATCCAGGAGTGGGGGCAGGAGTCTGGAGATAACTGCCCCTGAGYAAGCTCAGCTGCTGCCTGCCTGCCTGGGCAAGCCATAGCTGGGGTACTTCAGTTCCTTTTCTGTGGAAATAAGTACTATTTTCCTTTGCTGCAGTGGGGAGCCATAATTAGTGAACAGTTATTGAATGTTTGGGGATTAGCTGAATGTAATCATGTTAGTGCAAAAAGGGATGAAGCAGCAAAGGAGCCCTTGGGCATCACAGGATCAARTTAAACACCAGAGAAAGACTAAAGACACTAAAGCTGTCTTTCTCAACTAGRCATCTATGGTCAGTTCTTGCCATCCAGAGCCACAGAAGATATAAAACTTTCCTGTGCTGTCACTGAAAGCATCTCATGTATTCAGCTGGCTGAGGTGTCAATATGACCCTCATTACTGTCCATTCTGCACTCCTTATGATTTTAGCATCCCCTCAACACACAGGGAACTTGGCCCAGTCAAGGATTGGATTACTGAAAATAATTTTAAACATCTGTCCCTGGCTGACCTTACCAGGATCAGAGGATGTGTGTGATACATCAGTATTTATCCCCCCTCATTTTGAATGTGCAGTCAAAACTGTCACATAGTCAAAGCTGAGTTGTATCTGTAATCAAGCAGGAAAGAAATCAGTTTCTCATCTGGGTGGSCTAAATTGTCCTTGACAGGTCCTGTCTCTGTTGCCTAAAGTTAACCCACTTAAACTGCCAAATTTGGCAGGCTGCARTTGGGTGAGGATATTCCCAGTACAACTGGCTCTTGTTCTGTGTGAGAAAGCRCTGGGGTCAAGAGCTGCTGTTGAAAACCCCTGGTACTGCCTTTGCCTACAGCTTTACTGTATTGCCTGTATATAGTGCACCTTTAAAAGGTCACTGCCAAGAGCATAACCTGCCTCATGAGGCAGGATGCTTGAAAGAGGTGCTGAGAAGGAAGAAGACACTGGCCTTGGCTTGTCAGGGAATGTGGATTGGTACAGGGTAGGGTGGAGCTTGA